TAAGTGAGCCCAATATAGGGATGGTTATAGGGAAACTTTTTCGTTTTTCCTAGCAAAATAGGTGGGAATAAAAAGAAAACTTTATGGGTTGGGAATTGTGTCAAGGAAAATAAAGGTTAAAAATATCACTTTTGCCCTCATTTTGTTGTAATATTAATGTGTGAAAATATGTAAATACATAAATAACCTTGTAAGGAGGAGAGTTTAGAGAAGTTTAGGGGGGAAAGTTTCCTCCCAGCCAAACACCCCCTAGAAGTGGGAGTTAGATAGTTTCTGGTGGTAAATACCCATTTGATAAATTAGCACATAATCTGAAATTAAGTTAAACTTGGAGAAATATAGCTGATGCATGAAGAACAGGAGCCAGATACTAGACATAGCAATTCTTGGGCAAAGTTTTGTTCATAGGTTTAGCTAAATTTTAAAATGGATGGATTTCTGGAAGAAAGTTGGGGTTGTTGTGTTTCAAAATTTTCAAATTCCATACTTTTAATTATATTGAAGATTTTCTTCTTATGTCATTACATGCTTATATGTTGCTCTTGATGTCTAAAGGATGAGTCCATGACATTGGTTTAACTCCTTGTAATTTGGCACTTGCCATAAACTCCTGGGAGAAATAGATGAGTAAGTCAAAGTTAATATCTATTGATGAAGATGAAGGCTGCACAATTGATTTAGTGAGGGTTGAGTTATAACGTTCTAAACATGACTTGACCAGAAGAAAAAGCCATGGTTCTTATAATGTTTCAAGGGATCTATACAATGCAATCACAAATTGCAATATAATATTCTGCTTAATCCCTGGGAATTGGGGACCATGTGGCATAACCTTGACTAACTGATTTCTTATCTTCTGTTGCAGGTGCACCAATTGCAGGTTCTGCAGTTGATGAAATTGAGAAAGTTGTGGGCTACGTAAGTCTGGGGTACCCTTTTGGCATGACAGCCTCAATTCTTTTTGGGCGCCACCACAAGGCTATCTTGCAATCCCAGAAACCAAAACTCTTCGTCATGGGAACGCGGGATGGGTTTACCAGTGTGAAGCAGCTGAATAACAAGCTGAGCTCTGCAGCAGGACGAAATGAAATGCATTTGATTGAAGGAGTAAGCCATTTTCAAATGGAGGGCCCTGCTTACGATGCTCAGATGGTGAATCTTATCCATGAATTTATAGCATCATTGTAAGAATAGAAGCCAATTTATTAGTTCTTACCTATCGGAATGGTTCCTGGTAGAACTCCCTGTAAAATATGTTTCCAGTGAGCTCCTGGATTGGACTGTGTGTATGATATTGCATTACTGATGTTCATCTTTGTTTTATTTGCAGGGATTAGATATTTGGTTTCATATCCTGTGCGGCTCTGTCTGATCACAGTAAAACACTGGATTCAAGTAAACTTCACATTAACTAAAAACAGGTTTCTACTTGTGTTGATCCAATAGCAACACAATTGTGTTATTGTTGGAACAAGACATGCTAATGCAACAGAGAAAGAAAGGATGCAAATATTATGAAAGGGAAAACATTGTAAGGTTTATCCATCGTTAAGAAAAATATATACAAGCATTCTCCTCGATTCAAGTTAAGACTTACATTAAGGCTAAAACTAATCAACCCACTAATGAAGATGACAAGGCAACACCTATTAGTACAACCTACATTAAAATCGAATATCATCAGCCACATCTTGGTGACCATCTCTAGCCATTTTATTTCCATCTGATCTTTGTATTGTCCTTCTTTCACACATCTCATCAAACTGTCGTTTTCTCCATTCTCGGTCTTTATCCAGTGATTGCCCTTGTGAGAATGGCCGCTCTCCGTATTGTATATCATCAGCTTCATCTTGGTGACCATCCCTAACCATTTTATTTTCATCTGTTTTTTGAGTTGTTCTTCTTTCAATCACCTCATCAAACTGTCGTTTTCTCCATGGTCGGTCTTGGTCCAGTGATTGCAACTGTGAGAATGGCTGTTCTCCATCTGTTTTGAAGCCAAACAAAGAAGATAACACACTGCATTTTCTATCAAGAAAGCAATAGAACCATTTTACTGCTCCTTTCATACATAAATCCCTTATAAAAGGGGTACAAAACTTGGGAAACAGGGGGAGAGCTAAATTCTTAACAGTCACAAATTAATTCAAGGTCTTTAAAATATAAATCATCCATCGAGCTGATGCTAGATTTGTAGGGAGGACTGCTGATGTAGGAAGTGAAGGAACATGGCTAAATTGAAAAAAAAAAAAAAAAAACTAATAATAATTTCATCAAAAAATTGTACACATTGCCACTGGAAGAAATGAATATTTAAAAACTACACTTAGACGATACAACAGAAAGACAGGTGTCTTTATTTTTATGTACTATATAACATGATTATGTGTAATTAGTTATTACCACTTTCACCATCAGAAGCCTCTTCTAGCCTTGCAATTGCATCAACCAGGGCTTGTTCATGCTCCTGCAATAAAAAGGATCTGTGGTCATCACTCCAATAGACACAACATTGCAACAAAAACGTTAGATGGTATTTGATCCTTACTTTCAACACTTGCTTCGCTTTCTCAATCTCCATTGGATCAGGATGGCTAGCACCAAAAACTTTTTCTACCTGTTCATATTTCTCCCAATTAGGAAACCAAATTTTATCACATTCACCTGGTGTAGTTATTTACATAATCTTCTGGCAGAAATCATACCTCATTTATTAGGGTATCTGTGTGAAGTATCTCAATATGACCTGAGGCCTTTCTACCAACACCATTTTGTGACAATGGAAAATCTTTCTTGGCCTGACCCTTTATGGTCCCTCTCCCTCTTCCTGCAGCAACACCACCACCACGTGACATGGACTTCTTAATGCCACGGCCTGGTCCAGGGCGACCAGCTTTATGGGAAATTCCAGGATCATCACCTTCCCATTTAATATCTTCGGGAGAAATCTATCATCAAAAGATGTAACAATCAGCACCAGATAGGATATCCAAGAAAGAATATGTTCCGATGTTTTTTGGTACCATCACAAAGGATAAACAGCTCATAATGCCATCTTAATAATGCTCATTATGAATTGAGTAACAAACAACATATCTAGTTTCTCACTAATTGCATAAGATCTAACCTAAAAGAAGGTTTAAAAAATGAAACAATGGGTGGCATGAAGTAGTTCTGAATGGTAAAAATTTCACCTCTTTGAGATTGACCCATTCCCAAGTTTCATCTGCTGTATTAATATCATAAACCAAGGCGTGACGCCCCTATCAACATCAAGAAACATGTCACCAAAAGGTTTGTAAAATGGCAGAATACAAGGATAAACAAGACTGAAAAACATACCTCAGCTGGGTCATAATTAGTTATAACAGCCTCATAAAAATGGTTGTCTTCAGGCCACCTTGTCCAAACTTTCCTTCCAATTAATGGATCATAGGCTGCTGCCTCAGAAGGTTCGTTTGTTACAAAGGGCCCTGAGGAGCCACGATTAACAGGCTGGGGTCTTCCAGGAAGAGCTCTAGAAGGTTGCTGCATCAAGTTCACAAAGGATGCAACAGATAAATATTAAACTCATAAAAATGCAGTGAATAATGAAATCCAAAATGAATTTCTCTTGTTTCCCAGAAGCAATTTAACTTACAGATTTTGTCTTCTTGCTCTTAGCCCCTGGGGGACCTCGTCTGAGGGTTGTTGATGATGGCTGCAAAGCTGTATGCAATGCAGGAGATGGTGCACCCATAGACAATGAAGCTACAGACTGTGATGTTTTTTGCTTCTTGCGTGATCCAGAAGCAGTTGGACTTGGTACAGGGTCATGAGCAGGCTGAGTGGTACTGAGCATTCCAGGTTGGTGGCCACCTGCCTTTCTCCATTCCCTAACAGCAATGATTGATCATATTTCCCATTAAAAAGCAGAACTGACCAGAGATTATGTAATTGATGAAAGCTGCTCAGCAGAGTATGGTATGGTATAATCAGACCTTATCCTTCGAATGATGTCATCGGCATTAACTCTCGATAGAAGCTTCCTGTGTTCCTCATCTGATACTCTCAACTCCTTTCTAAGTTCAGTGATTAAACTTTCCTTCTCCTGTGTGGGGGGAAAACACATATTTCAGGTAGCTTTCAGACCCACTGACATTATCTAAATCAGGTTTGGGAATACAAAATATATTAAATCAAACATGAAAAATTGTATAGATACCCATGTGATGGCATCTGATTGAGCTTTGAAGGCCCGCAAAACTGAAACATATGCTTCTTGCTCAATGAGGTGAATTTGAGTTTCCATGTCACCTTGCATTCTAGGTAATGGAGCAGGGCCTACAACTGCAGATATTCCATTCCCTGTGGCTCGACCTCCTCTTTGAAATCTATTTTGATGTGATGGAGGGAGGTCATCATCTGTTCCTGAAATTGTTTCAGACAAAAAGATTCACCATTTAAGGTGCCATTTCAGCATGAGGTAGACTTTTACAGGAGTTTAGCAAAAGGAATAAAATTTTCAAGAGCAGATAGCATGATATTTAACCTTCTCATCCATTGAGAAATATTCAATTAATAAATATTAAAACATTGCAATGGAGGCAAACTAGATGAACATGCAAATATGATGCACAAATCAGTGTCTGCAGAAACTGAAGTATTATTTTATTTTCCTAATACAAATGCAACATAGAGGAAACAATGAAACTTCCCTCCCCACCCTCCCAAGCTAAAAATTCTGAGAAGACTTTGAAAAAGGAGCATATCATAGAACAAAAAGGTAGAATTAGACATCACATATTTACTTGAACTTTGCAAAGAAAGTCTAAAAACAATTTTCCCAGAGAGGAAAGGCAAACTCCTGATAAATGATACTGTGTGTCTGTGTTCTTCACATTTCACACTTGAACTAATTTATGAAGGCTGAGAAATCAAAGTTCTTTCCTCCTCAATTACTTTGAATTTTTAGAATGTGAAAATTAATACCAACTTTTAACTTACCACTGCTATCAGAAAGTGCATAGTCCATATCGGTTCCTTCAAATCAAATCTTCGCTTAGCTCTATGAATTGAAAGGACTTTGCCCGAACTCAAGAACCAAACCTAAACAACTTTATAACAAAAGGCAAGGAACAACAATTAAAAGCCATTAAGGTCAGAAATAACAGTCAAGCTGCAAACATCAACTACAAAAAGTCTCTAAACTTATTACAGTGCTTAACAATTCTAAGTACCCAAGAATTCAAAGCTTCAAACTATTGTAAGTACTTAATTTTCTGTTTCAAATCAAACATAAAGCATATTAGAGTAACAATTTAAGCAATAATTTATGCAGAGAAATTCTATCTCACAAAACTAAGCTCCAGAAGACAATTAAGGGAAACAAAACTCAGCAAAAACCACAATCTTTTCTAACTTACCACAATCTTCCAACCAAAATTTTGCTCTGAATGACTCAATACTGCAAAAATTCAAGCACTTTCCACCCAGAGCTCCCACAAAAGCACATATTAACAATCAATAGCTAATTATTCCACCATAAGCATACGAATTGCAACCCCGAAGTACTCCAAATTGCCAAAAGAAGACCACACTCAGAACAGTTTCTTCAAAAAAAAAAAAAACTTCCAACTCCTTAGAGATTAAAAAAAGACGGTTCTTTGAGCAAAAATTGCTCAAAATAGAAGCAATAATCTATAGATAAGTTCCAGAAAAGTGAATTTGAGGTTAAAAATTGACCCAAGGGAATCGAATTTCCTCAGAAGAAAAAAAAGATTCCGACTTTCCTTTTTTTTTTTTTTTTGCCGAATTCTGAGTTCAAATCTAGTGATTAAAAGATTCAGAAAAGGGATTCTGAGGATCAATTTGGGGGGGGGCAGAATTAGGGTTTATAGTCAGAATTGTGCAAGATTTTGAATCGATGCGAATGCAAGCATCTTCATTTTTCAGAGAGAGAAAGAACGCGGACTTGAAATCTGCTCGGCACTTTATTTTTTTCCAGTTAATAATTGAGTTTGAGTTCCGCGACGGCTGCTCGGGGGTCGTTTTGTTCGAAACATATTGCCGTTTGCCCAATTTCGCATTCTCTTGATTCACCATACTTAAGGATTCTAAATTGATGCAGCCAATACATGGACATATTCACTGTTAAGGATATGTGGATTCATAATTCAAGCTTAAAATTAATACTAAAAAAAGTAATTTTTTATCAAGTTAATGTCAGGTGAATTTTTATAATAGTTTAAT